AAGGAAACTTTTTTGCAATTTAAACAATAAAAAAGAAAAGAACATTGGGTTAGAATGTCTGAAACAAGAATAATTGATTTTTAATTTCACGATGATTGGTACTATTATAATTATTATGGTTTATTTTTTTAGTTCCTATCTAAAAACTTTTGATTTATTGTGTGCATAAAGTAAATGATAGAAAAGGAAGATGTTTATTCTGAAAAGCGAATTGGTTGAACAAAAGCGAATGAGATAGTGCAAGAAAAAGAGATTAGTATCGTTTACTCATTCTATTTCTTTAGACAGTATAATATCGTTGAAACTCGGAGGACGAGTTGCAAGTTCTACGATCAGGCTTGCAGATGTTGTAAGGAGTTCCTCGACCTGCTTCGAATCCTTTAATAATTTCCCACTATCTTTCTCTCTCTCTCACACATTCTCATTCTCTTTCTCTTTCTTTTTCTCTTTCATCGATTTGATCTTTCTGCATACAAGCACCAGTCGTCTTAGCTCGGTGAAAGTGCAGATAACATCGTTGAACATATCTCGACGTAGGAATAGAATCTTTTAGCAAATGAGCTTGGCCTATTCTATGTTTATATGTTCGATGCGATTTACATAAAAAATACAAAAATAAAATGAACTATGCTGGTAACAATAATCGAAACGGGATATTAAAAATCATATGAATTATATTTAGAATTATATATTTAAAAAAAAAATAATAATTTAAAGGTTCGGCCAGGCTTAATAATATTTGGAGTTATGAATTTTTTTATTTATTTATTTGTTAAATATTTAATAAAATAAACAATTAATATATATATATATATTTATATAAATATATTTATCTCACATAAATCGCACAAAAAATTAAACACAGTATTTATATAATAAGAGAAAAGATTATATTATAATTCCATATATCTATATATTAATATTTTACTATAAATATTAATCATTTATTTAAAATACTGATCCCAACAAAGATCAACCATTGGCAGTTAAACATTTGGATTATTTTCAAAAATATTATTATACACAGAAAAAAAAAGGACAAAATAATCAAGTATAATATATGAATTTCATTATCCAATTATTGATCAATTATCGGTTTTAATTTGTTATAATCAAACGACCTTGATATATCCGGTTCATTGACCGGCCTTTGGCACCTGTCTTTCTCTCTCTCACACACATATCAAAGATTAGTCAACGTTTCGTAAAAACAATAGGAAAGTCTCCCTTCCTCCTAATTTTCCTCCCCCGCCCCCTTTCCCCCTTTCCATCTATTTCTGCGGTTGTCCTCCTAGAGGCTGTAGAAGGGCGGTATTTCATTCGACTTCGTGGTCCACACAGTTTTTTGTTTCCTACTGGCCTCTGCTTTTGTTGGCCAACCCGCCTTACAATTCCTCGATGAAAGGATGGAAAAGGGCGAAGAAAAGGGCTAACGAAAGGGCGACGACGACGACGACGACGACGACGACGACGTAGAGAAACGTAGAGAGCGAGAGTTTTGCTGCCGTTGCTGATTCGCGCGCCATTCCGTTTTATTTTATCTCTCTTTCTCACTCTGTTTTTTTGTTCTTTTTTTTTTTTAACTCTTCTTCTTTCGTTCTCCTTTTGATTATTTCTTTTTTTTCATTCGTTCAGTCTTTCTCGTCACTTCGCCCATCATCTATCTATCCACTCCAAGTTAGGTATTCATTCACATTGCCGAGAGCCTGAATTTAAAGATAATACGCGTCCGGTTAAAAATCTACTAACACTATGACAATTATATTTGATCAATTTTCTATGTTTCTCATTCGTATATATGTATGTGTATAATTGTGGAGATTATATATATGTGTATGCAGATAGAGAGATAGATTATGTTTGATTGGATGTTTAAGTAGGTGTGTACGCGTGGATATATACAATTGTGTGTGTATTTGTTGTTAGATGCGTGTACTTGTATACGTATTTTGCGTGTGTATGTATATTTAGCTGTATGTATGTATTTCTTTTTAGGTATTTTTTGTGTACGTGTATGAAGTTGTATAAATGAATGTATGTTTGTGTACGCGCGCGCATGTGTGTGTGTGTGTAGCAGGGAGAAAGTTTCTTTTTACTTGACGAACATTGCGATTGGTTCACATCGGTCCGATTTATAGACCTTCACCATAACTCTATTCAATAGAAATTCAGGATTTTGCAGGATTTTAAGGAAGGACGATCATTGTGTTAGGTCGACAATGAGATACCTATCAGCATCCTTTCGTATTCCTTTTCTTTTCCGTTTGATTTGATTTCTTTTTCTTTCCCTTATTGTTTTTTTTTTTATATTCTTTCTTTTGTCGTTAACTTTCGACCACAATGTTATAATATAGTCATTAATGAAGAATTTATGCATCTATCTGTATGTCTAATCTCATTTTTTGTTACATTTATCGAAGAAACATGTATTGTCGGTTATATCTTAAACAAACAAAAATCGTTTATAGTTTCTGTAAAAAAAAAATCTTTAATTAAATTAATAATATTTTACAATTAATAGTAATTAATAATAATTTATGTGAGACTTATTATCAATAATTAAAGATAAATATGTAAGTATTCATAATAATTATCTTCAATTTTTAATGTTCTAACCAATTTTTCTATAATATATTCAATCAATAATCCTATGGTAACATGTATATATTATATTTTCATGCTAATTCTTCTATTGATTTTAATTATTTCTATATTTGTCTATTAATTCATAATTAAATAACAATTTGTAAGACGTTTATTATCGGTTATTAGAAAAACACACATATATACTCATGCTAATTTGTTTCGTTGAGTTACGTCGTGTTCCCTTTTTTTTTACGCGTCGAACCATAAACGAGCTTCTTTCTCTCTCTTTCTCTGTTTTTCAAGACACGAGGGCTGGAATATGATTAGTATATCGTTATAGAGGCATCGCCTTGGATACTCGAATTAAGTTTATTGAGCAATTTTCATGGCATTACGTCTCCTCCTTGGCGAGACCCTCGTGAAAGACGTGGATATCGTTAGAGGAAGGGAAGAGAGGAGAGAGGGACGAGGAGAGAACGATACGACCGTTTGCCCGTTTCGCCTTTTCAGACGGAACGAGGAACGAAGTGGGAGGGGAGATGGTAGGAGAAAGGAAGGAAAGAACAAAAAAATGGATCGATCCCTTCGTTGTCCTTTTCGTATCCTCATAAATTTGAAATTCGATTATTTTAAAGGATCGACGATGATCTGTTCATCTCTCTCATACTGTTTTCTTTTATAAATAAAATAAGAAAAATAAATAATCCAAATGTGTGAAATAGAATAGAATTTGTATAAATTGTTATATACTGAACAGAGAAAAAATAATATTATAAGAAAACAAATATAAATGATATAGGAGAACAATAGACAAAAAAATAATCATCTAAAAATTCTCTTCACAAGAGTCTTAGAATATATTAATAATA